CTGCGTTGGAGAACAGAGGTACATCATGCACGCAGAAATTTCTTAAGTTTAAAGGGCGGAAATTTTAACACAGGTGGTGCACGACAAATATAAGAGCTTGAAAATTCAAATAGAACACACAATAATTTCATCAAAGCAGTGATATTAATATAAGGGTCAAAGATTGAGTTGTAATGATAAAGGTTCTGCATATTCCCAAAGGAAACGTAAAAAGTATCAAACGAACCCGACAGCTGACATTATATGAATCGAAAAAGTGGAAGTATTATAAATTTTAAGGAGAGAATAGTGAAACTTCATCACTGTTCATTATTATCTATACTGTTTGACAGATGACTTCGACATAGGCAAAAACGGACTAAATGCTTCGATACAAAGCTACATGTGAATAAATGTCTGAGCGAACATTTACGGAAAAATTTAAAGTAAAAACGCGATGTGTAGCTAAACGCAATCTTAAATAAGAGATAGAGTCATATGATAGATGAGAAAAAATTTGCCAATTTAATTTAACAAAAGCGAAATTGCTGCCGCATAGATTCCTCTGCTACACTTAAGCAAAGATGTTTAGAGATGTCACCAAATGCAGTCATTGGCATGCCCTAATTTGTCATTGGGCAAGCTCAATGCTCTTAAATTATTCCATGTTATGCATGTATTCGCATTGAAATTTTTTATTGGTGATTCATTCATTGACAAATAAATAGAGTAATTAACACCGCCTTCTGGATTTGAAACAATGTACAGCCTCAAAAGAATAGCAATTTTTGAGGAGCTGTATTAGAAAACATGAAATCTTTTTCGTGAAAAGATTATTAAATGCTTCTGAGACCTTATGGGAACAATAAAGTAAACGCTAATTAAATGATAAGGTTCTTAGTTCTACTCGTATTACCAACATGCATATCTGAAACGGTAGCAGATTGAATAAAACAGGTATGTTTACAGAAGCTCTTAGAGTATATTTTTCTAAACTCGTTTTATGGGGCTACATAAATCTATGGAATCAGTCCCCTGTGGAGTAGTAAACGATACTGATATTTCAATGGTTAGGCGATTTCCTTTCATTGTTTTACGGAAGTTTAAAATGCACTTTTAGCTTCCATTGTTACTAACTAGTCAATCTTAAATCATTTGGATAACCTCGTAAGAGACTGATATTTTGTAAAGATTGCAGCTTATTATACCAGACCAAACAAATGAGAGCTACACCCTCCGATACGGGTAGATTCATCCAATTGCATTTGACATTGCTGGATAAGAGAGCCCAAGACATTAAGCAAATTCAATAATCATAAATTAACGGAGTTGTTTGTGTCGGGTTTTTTACCGCAGTGCAATAGTAAACAGACGTCTAGTAAAATGCAGTTTCACCCTGTAGTTCAGAACTGAGAAGGCTTGAATCCAGAGCAGTACAAAATTGTTTTCTAAACATCTGATTTGTTTAAATCTTGTAGAGCTACTGTTCTTTTATTCAGACATCCGGGAGGTGTATATCAATTTGCCAATTCATCATTAAAACTGAATGCATTATGCTAGGGTGTTGTAATGCAAAACTTAACAGAATTGCATCTTTTTTGTCTGATGCATATGTTGTGCAGCTAGCATTTGCTATGACTTACCAAATGACTGTTTACAAATCGAACGGAGATATCAACGATAAATTCAGATTTGAATCAAACTAGATTCACATATTTGTTTGATACAGTGGGTGGGATATCGGAATGAATATCCTTGTTACCTGAAAATCTAATTATTTTGTAAGTGCCCATCTGGTAGGAAAGCAATATCGTTGAATGAAAGGATACCTTTCTACTAATGCGATATAGTTGTAGAACTGCAGTCTAATTTGCTTTAAATCAGTTTTTATTGCTGTGTTTCTATGCTTCTCTATAAAAATCAATTTTGGGATATATGTCTTTTAGTGTGTCTTTCAGTCGGAAAGTTGTTATTATATGGATTGGTAATTGCCAGTCGCTGTTTCAATAGGATATCAATATATTAATACGTACGTTGTCGAAATATTAGTAAAGTATGCATCTCGGTTTTTGCAAGGTTATTCCGTATGTGTGTGGTTTTCGGCATGTTTCTTAAAACAGCGGCTTAATTTCTTACCCTTATTTCTATTCTAAAAAAGTTTTACAATGACCTATTAGGTTTGACCTGAGTGAGGGTCGCTGAGTTGACATTCGATCAGAATAGTTTCCATTCGCAGTGGTTCACAAAACCATAGCCATAGCATTTTGTTGTGGAGAGTGAACCATCGGGTTGGTATCTTGTGGCCTCATCAACTAACTCC